TGTTGCAATTCACAATGTGTATCATGGTTTTGATGAGGTGCAATTGACTCATGGTAAACATGTTCTTAGTACTCATGTTTTTTTTTCTTCTTTTCAACTTAATAATCATTTTTTTTTATCTTAATAGTATCTTACATGTTCCTTCCAACAATTAAAATCTCTTATCTATCATTAGAAAATGTTGCAATTCACAATGAGTATCATGGTTTTGATGGGGTGCAATTGACTCATGGTAAACATGTTCTTATTACTCATGTTTGTTTTTCTTCTTTTCAACTTAATAATCGTTTGTTCTATCTTAATAATATCTTACATGTTCCTTCCAACAATTAAAATCTCTTATCTATCGGTAGCTTTACAAAAATAATTCTTTTTCTTTTGAATTTTTTCTTGATAATTTTTTTGTTAAGGATTTGGATTCACGGGAATACTACATGTGAGTATATTGGACAACCATCTCTACACTTTCTTCTTAGATCATGCCTTGAGATGCCTTTTTTCTATTCAAGCTCATAGTGCTAATTTAGCAACTTGGCATGCCGGCTTTAGCCATGCATCCTCCAAGGTAGTTCAGCGTGCCTTAAAAGGACACTAAATTGGCTTTTTCTTCACAACCAATTTCATCTTTTTGTCATGCCTATTCACTTAGTAAAATTCATAAATTGTCATTTTCTCAATCTAGTTACGAGGCTAAGATACCATTAGAATTTATTTGTTCGGATGTTTAGGGTCTTTCTCATGTATCTTCTATTAATGGTTATTCATATTATGTCCTTTTTTTTAATTATTATAGTAATATTATTCGTTATTTTTTCTTTGCTATAAATATGAGGTCCTAAATTGCTTTATTAAATTTAGACATATAGTTGAAAAATTCTTTGATAAACCCATGAAACAATTTCAGTTTGATTAAGGAGGAGAATATCGAGTTTTAACAAAATATCTTACTGAAAATGGAATATCTCAAAAAAGTGCATGTCGCAAAACACCAAAAAAAAAAAAAAATGAATGTGTTGAGCAAAAATACTTGTCTTATAATTAAAACGGGCTTAACACTCCTTCATTATGTCTCTATTCCATTAACTTTTTGGACTCGTGCTTTTGATACTTCCATTTATACCATAAATAGACTTTCAACACCACTCTTACAAAATAAGTTTGCTTATTCCATCCTTTTTTGAATCGCACCTTCGTATAATGAGATTAAAATTTGTGGTTGCTTAGGTTACCTGTGGTTGCTTTCGTATACTAGTCATAAACTTACACCTTATTCTTCCTCTTATATTTTTCTAGGATACCTCTGTTATAATCTCTTAACTAAAAAATTTCATATCTCATGTTGTGTCTTATTTGATGAACAACTTTTTCTTTTTGCCTCATCTAGTAAGGACTCGTCGAGTACACCACACTTTATAAAAAATTGCTCGATTACCTTTACCATTGCTAAATCCTTGAATAATTATACCATTTATTTCCCTATCTTATAATCCTATTATATCTTTTCCACTAGACCCTAACAATAACCCTTACAATCTCCAATTTCTATTCCCTATGGGGACTCCTAATACATCACATAACAACATTTCCATATTCACACTACATCCCACTCTATTCTATGCACGCAATCTCGACCATCCGATCTCTATTCATCTCTTGTTGTTGACCTTAGCTCTTATCGGCTACAACCACTTCAATAGTCCCCTAACACCTTTAAAATCTAGACGACCCGTGACTCCTCCATATGGCAAGTCCTTACTTACTAATAAATCTCTCACAACCACAACTCATTCACATAACGGGTCTCCCACCCTTTCAAACTCTAGACCATCTACGGCTCATCCATATAGCATGTCCTTAATTACCACTAACTCTTCCATAGCCATAACTTTTTCATATGGAAAGTCCCTTAATACGTCTAACTCTTTAACAACTAGGATTTCATCACCCGACAAGCCCACACACATTACAAGACATACAACGATCCACAACTCTCCCACTTGACAAGTCCACCACATTTATAAAAACTACAAAAGCCATGACTCCTTCTTATGGCATAATCACTTGTGTGCAAACTAGCAATTTAAAGCCTTGTACTTTCTCTACAATTGTTTCTCATACTAAACCAACCACTTACTACCAGCTCAACCATGTCCTCAATGATGGGTAACCATGTCTAATGAATTTCAAGCGTTGATGGACAATGAAACGTCGGAGCTTGTTCCTTTCCACCTTACCTATAATGAAAATTAAAACCGATGGTACCATTGATCATTATAAAGCCATATTAGTAGCCATAGGGTTTAACCAATGACTTGGCTTGGACTTTAATGAAATTTATAGTTTAGTTATTAAATTCGTAGCTCTCTAGTTGATTCTTTTCGTTATTATTTCTCTAGGATGGCATGTTAAATGATTAGACGTCTCTAATGTTTTCTTTCATGGACCATTAGAGGAGGTCTGTCTATATGACTTAACCATAAGGTTTATTGATGTAACATGACCCACTCATGTTCGTAAATTAAAGAAGTCTTTGAATGGGTTAAAACAGGTGCTACGTCAATGGTTTCGGTGTCTCATGGATAAGCTCACTTCCTTAGGCTTTCAAGGATCCCAAACTAATGTGCCTTTATCTTTCAAGAAGTTAGGGAAAAGTATGATCTTGTACTTAATTTATATGAATGACATGATTATAACGGGTAAAAATGGTCCTCTAGTTTCTTCTCTCATCTCAACTCTACAATCTAGTTTTCCAATAAAGCATCTTGGTTGACTTAATTATGTTTTAGGCATAGAGGTCTTTAAGAGGCACCAATGGCCTTTTGTTTTCATCAACAAAAATATGCCAACGAATTATTACAAAAGGCCAATATGCATCAAGCTAATCTTATTAGTACACCAAATTACATGCCATAGCTTTTACTTCATTTTTTGACCCTTTTCTTTATCACAATTTGGTTGGTGGTCTATAGTATCTTAGCATCACTAGTCCAGAACTTTCTTACTTTGTAAACAAAGTAACTCAATATATGCATGCACCAATGAAAGAACATTGGGCAACCTTGAAACGAATCCTTTGTTATCTTCAAGTAACAATGGATAATGGCTTATACATTCATTAATCTTTATATTTTTCTATCAATGCATACACATATTCGAATTAGGATGATGATGTTAATGATCATAAAAGCACCTCTAGTTATGCAATCCACCTAGATAAGAATTTGATCTCTTGGCAATCTCAAAAGTAGTGCATTGTTGCTTGCTTTTCAATTGACACTACAAAAAAAAAAAAAAAATTTAGAGACAGTTTCCACTATCGCTAAAATAAAAAAAATATTGCTAATAAATATTAGTGATGATTTTCACTAGTTAAAAACCATTCGAAAAAGGGTTCTCGCTACTAATTTAGCAACAAATTAACCATCGCTAAATGACCATTAATTCATCGATTAACGAGTGTTGATTAGGTCATGGATTTAGCGACGGCTTTGTAAAATTGTTGCTAAAACCATAGCTTCTTAGCGACATTTTAGAAACCATTTTTAAAAAAGCATTGCTAAATATGAGAAAATTTTGCATCGTATTTAGCAATGGTTTTTCAACCGTCACTATTTTTTATATTTTTTATATTTTTAGTTATTTATTTTATCGCTAATAAGAAAAATAAAATCCATTCCAATTTAACAACTATAATAACACTATGAAATAGATTTATAAATATTAAAAAATCTTTATAATATATAAAATTTAATAAAATAAAATACATATTTAAACACTAAATATTTTAAAGTTTATTAATATTTTGAGGGATATTTAGTGACGAGCCATATGCAAGAACCTAACGGTAGTCCCGGTGGGGCAATAGTCCTAATGATAATGAAGGTTTAGATGGGCGGGGATGTGGAGGTACATAATAATACAACTCGAGTTGAGATATGTCGAATGATAATGAGTTTGACATGGTGGTAATAGAAGATAAAGAGACATGTCGACGTGGGGGGGGGGTGATTCGATCCGGAATGGAAGCAAGGCTACGCCCATATCCACGGTCACCGAGATTGTTAGTGTTTGAACTACGACCCTCACCATATGACATGGGGCACTCGCATGTGGGAACACTCCCTACCATGATATATAACCTACACATTATCACATTAATTAGCTAATAAAACATAACAACTATAAAACATTGATATTAACATAAACAAGTTAAAATATGTTTAATTTACGATCAATAAATAATTTCATAATTATATTAAAATATCCACACACACACACACACATGTTTATATGTTACCTTAATAATTTCAAGTAAACCATGAAGAAGAATCAAACCTTACATTAATCACTATCCCGGTCATCATTGTTATAGTTTTCATTTAAGTCTTCATTAACATTTGTTTCAAATTCAACATCATTCTTTTCATTAATTTCACCCCATTCTACATCTATTAACAATCTATTGGATCAGTCAATGATCGACTCTTATCATCATCAACTTGGATGACATTATGTTGGGCTTTCATCCATACACTTTAGATGACTAATGGCAAAATTAATAAATTCATTAACTTCATATGGCTAATCATAAATTAACTTGCGGGAGGATGATAAGAAATAAGGGTAAGACTTCATTGGTTTATCTTTATTTGTATCTGTTTCTCGTATATTTTAGCTTAGTATCGTTAGCCATATAGAGTTAACCTCCTTATACCTAACCTATACTTATCTCCATATTTGTTTTCTGTATATATATCGTCTGTAAATGTATTGTAATGTGAGTGAAAATCATATACTTTACAGAGTCACCTTTTGGCAAAATAAAATAGTAAAATCTTTGAATTCTTACTGCAGCTAATGTACCTGTAACCAGGTGCTAAAATAAATGCCACGACCCTACTTCAACCTCTAAAAAATTAATTAGTACCTAATCAGGAGAGTTCACCGTTTCCTCTCATTACAAAACTATCATTGTTTCTGTCATGGAAAGAGAACCAACAATGGCAACAAATGTCCTGTTATCTGCAACGCAATGGATATGCGCTCATTCATCTCTTTGGGATGTATTTCTTGCTTTGTTGGGACTCTTTGTTTTCCGATGTATAAATGAAAGGCTCACCAACAATGGCCCTATGCTATGGCCTGTGTTGGGCATCATACCGACAGTGTTCCTCCACATCAACGACACGTACAATTTCGTCACCGGAGCTTTAAGGAAAGCAGGTGGAACCTTCCACCACAAGGGTATGTGGATGGGAGGAGCATATGGAGTTGCGACAGCTGATCCTTCCAATATCGAGTATATGCTTAAAACAAATTTCAAGAACTTCCCAAAAGGAAAATACTTCAGAGAGAGGTTTCAGGATTTGCTAGGGGATGGTATTTTCAATGCTGACGATGAACTGTGGAGGGAACAAAGGCAAACAGTGAAAGCAGAGATGCATTCAAGCCGGTTCATTGAGCACTCGCTTCAAACCATGCAAGATCTGGTGCACCAGAAGCTGTTGAAGTTGACAGAAAAACTGGTGAAGTCAGGAGATAGTTTTGATCTACAAGAAGTGCTCCTTCGGTTTACTTTTGATAACATTTGTACTGCAGCTTTTGGGATTAATCCTGGGTGCTTAGCCCTGGATTTTCCCGACGTTCCCTTCGCGAGAGCTTTTGAAAAAGCAACAGAATTAACTTTGTTCAGATTCCTGATTCCACCTTTCATTTGGAAGCCCATGAAGTTCTTTGGAATAGGATACGAGAAGGCACTGAAGGAGGCAGTTGGAATTGTTCATGACTTTGCTGAGAAGATAGTGAAGGGTAGAAGGGATGAGGTAAGCAAGCATGGTAGCTTGTTTAATCAATCTGATCTCTTGTCCAGGCTTATCGAGATTGAATATAAGGGACAAAGCAAGAAGCTAGAATTTCCCGACAAGTATTTCAGAGATTTGTGTGTAAATTTCATCTTGGCAGGGCGAGACACCACTTCAGTGGCATTGGCATGGTTTTTCTGGTTAGTACACAGAAATCCAGAAGTGCAAAACAGAATTCTATGCGAGATGAATGACATTCTGTCCCTTCGTGAGACACAGTCCAAAAATGAGATCATTTTCACAATGGAAGAATTGAACAAGATGGTGTATCTCCAAGCAGCATTATCCGAATCTCTGAGGCTGTATCCATCTGTGCCAACTGAAGTGAAAGAAGTTGTAGAAGATGATGTTCTCCCTGACGGTTCCATAGTTAAGAAGGGTGCTCGAGTTTTCTACTTCATATTCTCAATGGGCAGGATGGATTCCATATGGGGGAAAATTGCTTGGAATTTAAGCCAGAGAGGTGGATTAGGGATGGAAAGTTTGTAAGTGAAAATCAGTTCAAATATGCGGTGTTTAATGCAGGTCCAAGGCTGTGCCTGGGGAAGAGGTTTGCATACATGCAGATGAAAATGGTGGCAGCTTCAATCCTGTTGAAGTATTCAGTAAAGGTAGTTGAAGGCCATGTCGCTGTTCCGAAAATGACAACCACACTTTATATGAAGAATGGACTATTGGTGACTCTGATGCCTAGGTTGGTGAACATTGCTGCATAGTGGGTGCTAAATTTACAAGATTAATGTTGCTCCAGAGCTTTGCTTTTGTGTAGTAGTTTATCAAGCCAAATAATTAAGTTGTACGCATATTCGAAGCCTCATTAGTTGTGGCTTCAGGTTGCGTATCTAAGCTATGAAACTTCAGCGTAAGGTACGTACAATATTTAAAAATGTTTGTGCCGAAGAAAACAATGTCCTATTTGCTTAGTATATACTAATAGGCTTTTCCCACGTTACAACGAACAAAATATATTTATTTTATTTTTATAATTTATACTATATTATTAATCAATTAAATATAAAAGAAAAAATTTATCTAATTTCATAATTTTTAATCAAAATTTTGTATTTAATTTATATTTTTCATAAATTTTTTAGTTAAAAAAACAAATTTGTTCTTTCTTATGCATTTATTCTTAAATTTAAATAAAAACCTATAATAATCTAAATATAAAATTTAATATAATTTTTAAAAAATAATAATTTTTTTATAAGATTGCATCGAAGAAATAAAACAACAATTGATAAAAACACTTGTACAAAATTTAGCAAATGAATTTTTTAACTCGTTGTTTAATGTTGATGAGAATGCTAACTTTTTGAAAATATATACATTTGATTTATATATATTAATTTATAAAATAATTAATAATATTAATATAAAAAATTTATTTGAATTATTAGGTTGTTCTTTTGAAATATTATTTTTTAAAAGAAATTAATTTTATAACATTAAAAAAATTAATAGCAAACAATTGGGGTTATGTATGTAGATGCATAGTTAATTTTCAATAAAACTAATGATTTTAATTTTTTTTATATACATCATAACCATACTAAGTGAGTCGAATGAGTAGCATGAATCTAAAAATATTATTTAAAAAAAAACTTAAGTTGTAAGGAATATATTAAAGTTAATAGACTACGATAAAAATAACTATAAAATTGATTTCGATAAATTGATTTACAAAGAATAAACAAATAAAATACGTGAATTTTATTTTATTTTTTAAAAAAACTTATTCAAAAATCCATACATAGAGGAAAATAAATCATATTTATCAACAAACAAAATTACATAAAAAAGAATAAAAATTAATTTGATGTAAATTTTCATAATAAATGACAAATTGAAGAGATCAATTTAAATAATAAGAGTAATATAATCCGATATATATATATATATATATATATATATATATATATATATATATATATATATATATATATATATATATATATATATATATATGTTCATTTTAAAATTTAAAAACATATTGTATATAATTCATAATTGCCAACCTATATGAAATACTGAAAAAAATAACAATTAAATTTTCATAATTTTTGCATCCAATTCTATTAAAACAAAATTATTAGGAAAAAAAAAAGCAGAGAGAGAGAGAGAGAGAAGCATGCATGCTTGGTCGATCTAGGGACCAAAAATATTTTTAAAAAACAATAAGGACTAAAATAGAATATAATGTTAAATTTATACATAAGTGTCAAGAAAACTCAAAAATCATGAAAATTTCACTATATAGTAAAAATAAATTTGCTTTTGTGTTGTGGTTTATCAAGCCAAATAATTAAGTTGACGCATATTCGAAACATTATTAGTTGTGGCTTCAGGTTGCGTATCTAAGCTATGAAACGTCAGCGTAAGGTACGTACAACATTTAAAAATGTTTGTGTCAAAGACAAGAACGTCCTGTTTGCTGACTATATACCAATAGGCTTTTCGTACGTTCCAACGAACAAAATATATTTATTTTATTTTTATAATTTATAATATATTATTAATCAATTAAAATGTATAAAATTAAATTTAAAGAATTTTTTTTATCTAATTTCATAATTTTTAATCAAAATTTTGTATTTAAATTTATATTTTTCATAAAATTTTTAGTTAAAAAAACATATTTGTTCTTTCATACACATTTATTCTTAAATAAAAACCTATAATAATCTAAATATAAAATTTAATATAATTTTTTAAAAAATATAATAATTTTTTTATAAGATTGCATCGAAGAAATAAAACAATAATTAATATAAAAGTTTGTATAAAATTTAACAAATGAATTTTTTTTTATTGTTATTTAATGTTGATGAGAAGGCTAACTTTTTGAAATTACATACATTTGATTTATATATATTAATTTATAAAATAGTCAATAAGATTAGTATAAAAATATATTTGAATTATTAAGTGGTTCTTTTAAAACATTATTTTTTAAAATAAATTAATTTTATAAAATTAAAAAAAATTAATAGCAAACGGTTGGGGTTATGTCCGTAGATGCATAGTTAATTTTTAATAGAACCGATGATCCTAATGTTTTTTTTTTAATACATCATGACCATGTTCGAGTGAGTCAAAATCAGTAGCATAAATCGAAAAAAATATATATATTTTTTAAAAAACTTAAGTTTTAAGGAATAAATTGAAATTAATAGATTACAATAAAAATAACCATAAAATTGATTCCGATAAGTTGATTTATAAAGAATAAGCAAATAAAACACGTGAATTTTTTTTTAAAAAAACAATTATTCAAAAATCCATACATAGAAGAAGATAAATCATATTTATCAACAAACAAAATTACATAAAAAAAGAATAAAAATTAATTTGATATGAATTTTCATAATAAATGGCAAATTGAAGAGATCGATTTTAAACAATAAGAGCAATATAATTTGATATATATATATATATATATATATATATATATAAAATTCATTCTAAAATTTACAAACATATCGTATATATTTCATAATCGCCAACTTATATAAAATACCGAAAAAAATAACGAGTTAAATTTTCATAATTTTTTATCCAATTAAATTAAAACAAAATTACTAGAAAAAAAAATAAAAGAGAGAGAGAGAGACAAGCATGCATGCCTAGTTGGTCTAAGGACCAAAAATATTTTTTAAGAAAACAACAAGGACTAAAATAGAATATTATGTTAAATTTGGATATAAATGCCTAGAAAACTCAAAAATCATGAAAATACCACTATATGGTAAAAATAAATAGAGCTCATGAGTCTAGATAAATAGTGAATATAAGTTCGAGCGAATAGTGCCATAAATAATGACACCCCAAATCTTACAGTTGTTTTTTTATATAATTATTTTGTTGCCTAATCTACCCTCTAGGTATGATAGAATAGATGAAATCAGCCATTTCATATTTATAATTCATGTTGTGGTTATTCCAAAATATATTTAATCAAAGGTTAAAAAAAAATCACCCAATATTATAATTTTTTTATCAAAATTTTATATTTAACTAATTCTTCCTTATGTTTTTTTTATTATAAATTTTCTACTAAAAAATATTATTTGTTCACCTTTATCTATGGATTCTTCAGTAGAAACTTATAATAATCTAAATAAAAAATTTAATCCAAAATAAATAAAAAACACTTTAATATTTTCATAACATTTATAAAAAAAAAAAAACTAATGTAAAAACTTGTATAAAAATAAAGAAATGAAAAAAATATTTTTTTATTCTTATTTAATATTGTTTAGGGATTATGTATTTGAAAGTATGTAGAGTTGATTTATGAGTATTTATTCATAAAATAATCAATCATATTCGAATAAAAAAATATATTTGAATCATTAAGTGATTCTTCTAAAACATAAATTTAATTATTTTATTTAAAATAATTAATTTCAAAATATCAAAATAAATAATAATAAATAATTGGTGTTCTATGTGTCGGTGCATATTTAATTTATGATAAAACCAATCATTTTTTTAATACATTATACCTATATTGGCGGATTCAGAATCTACAATATAAATAAAAAATTATTAAAAAATACGTAATTGTAAAAAAGTTTTTTGAATAAAATTAGAAATTAAAAACTAAAATAAAATTTAATACAAAATTAATTTTGATAAATTTTAATTATATAAAGAAGAATAAAATAAAACATGTGAAATTCATTTTTTTTTTCATTCTTAATTTTTTTTTCTGGGCCATATAGACTAGTTCTCATACATAGGCCTCACACTCGGAGCAACAATTTCCTTCTCTTTTTTTTCATTTGACTTTAATTATCAATTAATTATTTTAAAAATTATTTTTTAATAAAAATATAAGAAAAAGTATTTAAAATATACTTTTAACCTTTAGATTATATATATCATGCTATTCTTGTATAAAAATTGTAAGAATCTATGATATAAATTATATAAAATTATATATCTTTTTTTTTAAATAATCATGTTCTAAAATATTATTCCAAATTCCATACATAAAAAAAAGGTAAATCATATCTATCAGTAAATAAAATTTTATAAAAATTAAAAATTAATTTGATGAGAATATATATATATATATATATACTTTTTTAAAAAAATAATCATGTTCTAAAATTCCATACATAAAAAAGGTAAATTATATCTATTAGTAAATAAAATTTTATAAAAATTAAAAATTAATTTGATGAGAATTTTTATAAGAAATGACATATTAAAGAAGTAAAATTTAAATAATATATATATATATATGATATATATATATATATATATATATATATATATATATATATATGAAAATATATTATATATATTTTTTCCTTTAACAATCGATCCTCTATGATTTTTGCTCAAAATTTAGTAATAAAAAATTAAAATAAATTAGAAAAATCAAACAAACAAAATTAAAAAGAACCAAGCTAGCGTGTGTCCTTGGGCCATTTTCAAAAAAAAAAAAAAAAAAAAAAAAAGGACGACGATGTGTCATTGGCATTGTGCTAAGTAGACAACTTGTTTGCTTGTAAATGCTAGTGTAACACATAAAATTTTGTTTCGATAGGTGATTGTTTTGTGGTATCTTGGATATATATTCTTTGGAGGTTGAGAAAAATAAAATAATTTGAGTATTTTAAAGTTTATTAAGTGAGATGGATCATAGTAATGGATATTGTGAGGTTTGTATGAAAGTGTAGAAATTAATTTAAAAGTAAATTAA